GCTCGGAACAGACGTCAACAGAAGCGTTAATGCGGACTACCAGTATTTCATCGATACTATGTACACTTCCATGCGATCGTCCAGCCAGAAGCAGTTTTGAGAAGAAAACAGTGCATCAGCCCCGTAACGCTGGAAGATAGGAATGAAGGCCGATGGACAACTGAACTACGAGTATACTGCGTTGTGCAAAGCAATAGTGAGGAAAATTTGAGATGACAATGACAAAGCACAAGAAAACAATGCTCAGAGAGGCCGCATTAAAGAATAATAGCCCGAAGGCTCCGATAAAGGGCATTGACACGACAAAACGGATTCTGGTAGCAGGAAAGGAGGAAGTAGTAACAACAGTCACTTGCAAACGATCCGAAATTACTCCCGGAAACCGTTCCCCATGTCATCTGGGACAAATTAGAGAGGGTATTTAAGAAGATCAAGAGAGGACATATGTCCTGTCAGGCATGCATAAAATCGAAATATCATTTCTAGAGGAATGACCCTGTTCAAACCCTTGACGAACAATTTGCAAAGCCTGTCAAGTGGAAGAAGAGGGCAAGAGCATGGAAGAACTGTTCGACGATTAAGCAGCAATGAAAACCTGCACACTCCCGACTCGTCGCTCTCATATCACGGATCTAAAAGGTCTACTTGAATCATTCTCCATTGTAATCCTCCGGAAAAACCTGAAGTTGCTCACTAATAATGATCAAGCCGGTTTCCAAACAGGGTTCTCCACCATAGACCACATGCACTTCGTTAAACAGTTAACAGAGAAGGGCAGAAATACCAATTCCCTCGCTGCTACCTAAGCATTCTTAGGCTTTCATTCAAAAAAGTGTTAGATTCCATCGAGGTCACCGCGATTCTGAACGCCTTGTTTACTGCGGCATCAATCAAGCAAACGGCAACGTGATTCAAGGACTGAATACTGACACTGCAACCTACATCAAGCTGACTAATAAACCGTGTCGAATCAACGAGCAGTCGACCAAGGAGACTCCATCTCTCCTGCTCTTCTCGCAACGGCGCTGGAACCTCTTTAACCGTCTGAATTAAGGCGACGCCATTAGCATCGAAGAACTGCTCACTGATCTGCCACGCGCCATCGGTCTGAAAAGGAATGTCTTCAAGAGGAAATGCGAAACAAGCGCTACCCCACCGGCACCGTCTTTAGTGACTGCGAAAAAGTCGCGGACAACATATACATGAGCTCTTTCATGGATTCCAGTAACAAAACCAACTTCGAGACCAGCAGAAGCAAGGCGAAATGGCCAAATTTCTATCACATCAAAATCGTTCTTCCATAATAAATTGATCATGCACGAACAAGGAACTGATCGAATCTGCTCTATGGCCTGCAATGACTTATGGCGTAAAGTGCCGATCCATAAGTAAAGAAAAACTACTAGTCAAGCAAAAGGTGGTAGAAGGAGAAATATAGATAAAGTCTACCTTCAAAACCACATATTAAATGCGGTGGCTCACTGTTAGAGACAATCTGTGTATGTACTTGCCGCCGCCTACAACTCGAAGAAACGACAGGCTGGTCTGAAGGATAACAGGTGTACCTCCGGTTGCCAAATAGATCCATCTTGCAAAGATGTCAACCATGCTGGGACGGATGCTTGGTCAGCGGTGAAAGCAAAGGGCACATCACTAAGAAATGGGGAACATCGACATTTACGCCGGTACAACAGCTGACGAAAACAATTCAGATAGAATTGGATTTACTTTCAACCCGGGGCTTTGGTGCTATCACATTTTCATTGTGAATCTTTTTACGTATCTGACAATATCATTAACACTTTCAAAAAGTGATTACGATTGCAATTATAAATTTCAAAGTGATTTATCCAGCATACAACGTCCGGTTGACGTCCTCAAAAGCCTCAATATATTCTAAGGAATGATATTAAGCGGCGAATCAGTCTTTTATCGCAACTTCACAGATTTACTTTGTATCAAATAGTACGAAAATCAATTTCAATAACAATTCAAAACGGATATACCTAAAATGAGAGCAGTAGCTTTTAAAAACATAAATAAACATCTCGTAAGTACACATTCGGAATGATCAATAATAATAAATAACAGTGCAGAGTGCACAGCTAATAGTAGGAATTCAACGGCCGCCTGCTGACGTGCTTCTTATCATTGAAATCTTTGAGCTTCACGTACAAACAGCAGGAAACGAAAATGCCAAAAATCTAAAAAAATGGGTAATTAACACGACAATATGAATATATTCAGCTCATGAGGGAGACCTAGAAGTAGCGCAGGAGTTCACTACGGCAAGCTGTGAAGTGTCATTGCTCACCACCCACTAATTATAATTATTCGTGATGAAAGCCTCATACGTTACACCACTTCTCTGAATCCGAATTCGTTTGAACGATATTAAAGTTATGAATGAGTTGACAAAAGCTGCAAACAGACTGCACCCCAAATGGACTGTTGAACAACCACTGGTCAAAAGGCACTCAAGAAAGAAGATATTCAACAAGCGTCTACATGCGTTTGTAAAGGATTCGCCAATAATTAGATGACGGAATATGATTATGCAAACGAGTAAACATAATACAACAAAATATACGGAAAACCAAATATAACGGAAGTATCGAAGAACAAATTTTACGTAAATGAACTTTGCCACTGCTGTCACAACTCTTTATAGCTATTTTGGCCTAAACATCCACCTACTTGCATGAACATCGTTGCGAAAAATAAACCCCTAAACGGCACCTGAATAAATAGGCTGCGTTGCTGTTGCTACTGTCATCTTAGATTAAATGGAACTGGAGATGAAAAGCTGCCCGGATTAAATATATAATACATGTTATTGTGCATACCATAAACGATCTGGGAATCTCCCCTGGGAACAGGGGTCACCACTCTCGTATTTCTGCAAAAGTCCGGAAGATTCACAAGCTTAACTCTGTCAATATGGAGAGACGACAGCTCGTGACTTCCACCGATATAGAAATCTTTGATGGCACTGTGGGAAGGAAGGAAAGTTTGTAACCGCTTAAATGCTTACCTTACACATAGTTTCACGAAGTTTACGATAGAGCGGTGATTTCTATTTCCATGCAGTTACGACTGTCTTATTTTAAGGACAGAGTTGACAAAGGCTATGTGACAAGAACGGTGTGTGTAGTCTCCTGTTTCCCTCCCGCAGACCGGTATTCATTTATCAACTTCGGAAGAAAAAGGGGTGAGTATCTCTGACAAGAGTTCGAACCCCGGACATGTCGATTCTGATTTAGACTCTGACTGAGTCCGC